GAAAAGATTTCGTCAAAGCGTTTTCATGTAATCGAACGGACACTGTTTGGCAGCCGAAGCCCGCCCGCCCGCCCGCCGTACATCCCCAAATCAATAACCGATTATTCTTTCGAAAATCCGGTTAAAAACGTTCTTTCAAGATCGAGCATTGTACAACTTAACGTATGTAATGATCTTAATCTAGATCCTTCAACTGATATTGGTTCAAACAATCCTTATAATTTTATAAAGGAAACGGTCAATACCTGTCTTAGACTGACTATAGCTAGTTAGAATGCTCGAATTGTAAGGCACCGACCATTCATCTTTTGTAAGTGGAGTTCCCATAAAAAAACATAAACAATTATTTCCCGCGTTTAACAACAACAAAAAAAATATTTTAATAACCTACACGAAAACAAGTTTTTTCTCTCACTTCCCTCGGAAACAACATTTTTCAAGATATTTATAATCAAACGATTTATCTTTAAAAAACATCACCCCCCCTCCCCCCCCCCCCCCAAATAAAAAAACAAAAACAAAAACAAAAAACAAAAACAAAACCCCAAAAAATGGTGCGGTGTTTTTGCTGATATTGTTCGTTTTTTTGTCATATAAAACAATTGAATTTTGGAAATTAACAGACCTAGAAGTTTTGTGGCCCTTTTCCCTTGATTTTTTTTGGATCAATTTTGAATATTAATCTGGCACATCTGGTTTGATTACATTTTTTGATAAAAATAACGACAAGCTGAAATAAGAGAATTTAGATTTTATGTATTTATGCTTTTTGGGGGGTGGCGATGGAGTTTTATTCGATTCGAGGCTAACGAATATTTACAATATTCTGTAGTGGTTACGAAAACATTTACTATTTTCTGAAATATCTTTATAAATTTTAAATCCCTTTAAATCTATTTATTAATTTGGACTAAGAAATGCTAAATTTGAAACCGGCTTTTACCATTTAGTCAGTTGTGTTGTATGTTTATGTTGTATGTTTTCACAATTTTGGATGCTGCGTCCCAATTATTAAATTGTCACGTAAACCAATTATGTCGGTTTGTGTTGCTCACACAATGTTGTCAATATGACGGAACTATAAGCAACTGTCATGTAAGTGGGAGCTTTAGCTTGCTTTAAAACCAAGTGTAGCCCACCTTTTTCTTTGGAAAATAAACAAGTCAGGAATATAACAGTTGTTTTCCGTTTATTAATATAGTCGATCACTTAGTTTTGTCAGGTTTTATGGACTTACTTCCCCCTTTTTTAAATTACCTTGGAGTTCGGTATTTTTGTTATTATCTTTTTGTTTCTGATGTACAGTTGTTGCAGTAAACATTTATATTACATTTAATTTAGTTTCACTTTACATCAAATAGATATAAGAAGATGTGGTATGAGTGCCAATGAGACAACTCTCCATCCAAGTCACAATTTGTAAAAGTAAACCATTATAGGTCAAAGTACGGCCTTCAACACGGAACCTTGGCTCACACCGAACAGCAAGCTATAAAGGGCCCCAAAATTACTAGTGTAAAACCATTCAAACAGGAAAACCAACGGTCTAATCTATATAAAAAAAACAACGAGAAAACTTATGAACCACATCAACAAACGACAACCACTGAACATCAGGTTCCTGACTTAAGACAGGTGCAAACAAATACAGCGGGTTTAAACGTTTTAACAGGCGCCAACCTACACACTAACCTGAAACAATAGTGTAACATCACAACATAGAAAGACACACTATAAAATAGCAATTGAAATGGCTTAACTCAATCAAAAGACATATTAACAAAAATAAGTGAACATACACTGAACGAATAAATTTGATCTATGACACAATGTAAATACAAAATTAATAAACAAAAAAGAGGGGTTAGATATCAAACAATATCAGAAAGACAACCATAACCTTGGACAAAATGCCGCCAAATAAAATAACGTACACAGGTAAAAAAAAAATGTAGTAAGGTATACATGGAGTACGGAAATATTTTTTACAACATAAATAATTTTTGTTGTTCAAAGTACGAGAACAGAAGTGAAAATTTATCGTCATACCAAACACTTAAAAAAAAATAGTGAGACGAGATATAACACTAAATAAGTAAACAATAAATAACAAAATTGCATTACAAATTGTCTCAACAGGTCAAATTAACACGAAAGTACGTAAATGCGACAATAATTGGGAACCAGTAACAAAAATTGTGTAAACATACATCACAATTCACTAAAAAATTCAAACAATCACACGAATAACTTTAACAAAGACGCAGACAAAAAAGGTGTAGTAGTTGATAGTACATACAGTATATAGCACACACCTTCTGGATGAATTACAAATTAAATAAAATACAAGGGTTAACAAAATGGAAACAACACTGTAAAAGAAAAAAAAACTTTTGCGTCCGAATAGCTCCTTCTCCTCAGGACCCATCTGCACCAGGAACACTCAAAGCCAAAAACCCGATAGCTGAATGCATAAATACCGAGTCACGTCATAAGTCCTAAGACCATAAAAACACAATAGCACGAAGACAAACGAAGGAAAAACTGTTGAGCAAATAAAAAGACACACAACTTCAGCATCCAGAATCAATTACTCAAGATCATCTTGTATTATTGGTGTAGTAAACCCTGAATATTTATCTCTTAGGTCTTGGTTCTTTCCAATGAATTTTTGAGAGTTCTTTGACAAAACCCTGACTCATTTTTTGCTGAAACACCGGTGACGTTTAACAAAGTCTGACTAGCAGCAGCAAGCTCTTGAATAATGAATGAGTTGAGAAATGTGTACTCCATACGCGGGTGAAGTTGGTATATTGCTGCTTGCCTTAGGTGAGGAAAATTTATAATTTTCAAAATTGAAATCGTCTCGTTTGTCAAAAAATTCTGATACTGAGATGGTCGCTGTTGTCAAATTCGGGGTAAATGTCTAGAAATAAGGCGGAGGTGGATTGTTAATGGAAAGAACATCATCAATATACCTGTATGCGAAATTATATGATCTAGCTTCTTTGATCTTCTTGTATTTTACAAGTGTCTAAAGGAACTCCGACTCATATGAAAATAAAAACTAGAGGCTCCCAAGAGCCTATGTTGCTCACCTGATTCTACTTTGGTTTTGGAAATCATGTAAAAATATATTAAAATCAAAGTAACAACACTTGGACAGCACCTCATTAGGAACATTCATACCATGTTTGGTTTCATTCCATTCAGTCGTTCTCTAAAAGAAAACATTTGTATGTATTTCTAATAGGTCCTATGTTAAACTCAGTCCCCGCTGGCGGCCATCTTGGAGAATTGATCGACTACAAAGTTCCAACACTTGGTCAGCACCTTATAAGGAACATTCATGCCATTTTTTATTTCATTCCATTCAGTGGTTCTCTTAAAGAAGACATTTGTATGTATTGTCCATAGGGTCCTGTGTTTAACGAGGTCCCCCGCTGGCGGCCATCTTGGATCATGGATTGGCTACAAAGTAAAAACACTTGGTCAGCACATCACAAGGAACATTCATGCCATGTTTTGGTTTCATTCCATTCAGTGGTTCTCTTAAAGAAGACATTTGTATGTATTATCCATAGGGTCCTTTGTTAAACGAAGTCCCCTGATGGCGGCCATCTTAGATAATGGATCGGCTACAAAGTAACAACACTTGGTCAGCACCTCATAAGGAACATTCATGCCTTGTTTGGTTTCATTCTATTCGGTGGTTCTCTAAAAGAAGACATTTGTATGTATTGTCCATAGGGTCCTATGTTAAACGAAGTCCCCAGCTGGCGACCATCTTAGATAATGGATTGCCTACAAAGTAACAACAGTTGGTCAGCACCTCACAAGGAACATTCATGCCATTTTTGGTTTCATTCCATTCAGTGGTTCTCTAGAAGAAGTTCAAAATGTAAAAAGTTAACGACGACGATGGACGACGGACACCAAGTGATGAGAAAAGCTCACTTGGCCCTTCGGGCCACGTGAGCTAAAGAGTCGACAAGGAGAGGTGCACAGTTGGTTCCCATATGAATGCCGACAACCTGCTGGAAAATTCTACCTCCAAGTCCAACAAATATGTTGACAATGAGAAACTCAAGCATACTGATCACTTGTTCTTCGTTGTTGCATGTTTTATTTTCGACTTAATTTTTAACAAAATATGTAGAACTATAACACAAAACAATCACAATATAGCGTACGGTACAAGTTTTATGGAAGAAAGCATTGTGCATTATTTATTTAAGACGGGGTTTGAATTATCATGTGGTATTATGGTGTATAGGGCGAAAAAATTGAATGTTTTGGTAGAATATATTTCAGAGAATGACCGGGATTTAAAGTTTTCCAGAAGTTCTTTTGAGATTTTTTAGAATCCACATATGGTTTATGCCACTACGCGAGTAAACAGTTTCACAGTATTTCTGTAATCCCTCTTTCAACGCGGACAACATTTGTTTAATCTAAAGGACGATTTATTTGCATCACATGCAGATGAGCCGACAATGAACTGTTGTCATAAGCAAGGTAGATAAAAATAAAGATTCCCGTCTATATTGAAAACGTGAACTTTCATTGACCCGAAGTTGGCACCTGTTTTACCATTGTTTATCAATAATGATAATACTATAGTTCCTATATTTTCTTATCTATCTATATCTTGCTCATCTTTTGGATCTTTGATTTTAGGGAGTTTCAGTAATCACCGTGCTGACTCTTGAATTTTCATAGAAAAATAATTTATATCAAAATATATTCGCGTCATACACGATAATTACCCATATTGCTACGAAGAGGACTTTCGTTATTATATTAATTATATTCCAATTGTCGTAACAATCCCGTCCCCCTTTCCCTGAATGTGACCTACCGAATTAGATTAATTACCGCGTTGGTACTAACATGTGCATCACGACAGGTGCCACATGTAGAGCAGGATCTGCTTACCCTTCCGGAGCATCTGAGACTGAGATCACCCCCCCCCCCCCCCCCCCCCCGATTTTGGCGGGGTTCGTGTTGCTCAGTCTTTAGTTTTCTATATTATGTTTTGTGTACTGTTTGTCTGTTGGTCTTTTTCTTTTTTAGCCATGGCGTTGTAAGTTTATTTAAGACTTGAGATTGAATGTCCATTTGGTATCTTCCGCTTCTCTTTTACTAGCGAATGAAAAAAGGGGCATTTTTCTCCAGCATGTATCATCTAACGAGTATCGGATGTCAACTGAAAATATATATTTTGGTACTTTTAATCGGCTCATATGTATATCAACACGATACGCACACTATTCTTGCTTATAGGTTGCATTTCTGTAAATATAGACAATGCAATTTCCCATAGGAACTCTCTTTACGGCTAAAACTGTGCCACTTTTACTATGAAGTTTCGTGAAAAATTATATCCTAGAATGGAAAGTTAATATTCAAAGGTCAAAAACATAGGGCTGTGCGGCATATTTTCAACATTTATATGCCCCGAACTTTTAAGTGTTTAAACTTATACTTAAGTTCTGTACTACCCCTACCTTCACTTTAGGTGACCCTCAGAATTCAAAATTCCCTGCAACCATGTGTAAATATACTGGTACCATACATCCCCAAGTTATGTCTCTATGAGATGAAACATAGAGATCATATCTGGGAACCAGTACGTAAACACACAAAATATCTATGAATATTATATATCTCCCCAAAAGAGGTGTCGTTTGTGAAACAGCTGTATTTACAAAGTGCAACCTATAAACATTTCTGTTGCCGTAATACAGTACAAAACTTTACTTGGTAAGTATATCAGAAAAAAAGAAAGAATTGCAATTGATAACTTAACAAAGGTTGCAAATATCTATACAGGTAATTTCCCACAGAAAATAAAAGAGATTGTAACAAACGTTGCAAACATCTATACAGGTAATTCCACACAGAAAATAAAAGAGATTGCAACAAAGTTTGCAAATACCTATACAGGTAATTCACCACAAAAAATAAAAAAAATTGTACTTTTTACTCATTTCTTCTTCAAAGCATTCAAGAAAATGCACGATGTCGCAATGGTCAGCATTTTTGGCTTCATCTAATGGCGTCTGGCCATTAAAATCACACACAGTAAAGTTTGCTTTGTTTACAGCCAACAATTCGACAATAGAAAGACAACCGGCTTTACAAGCGAAGTGTAAAGCTGTTTTACCTTCATTGTCAGGGTGAGAAAGATCCATTCTATATTCTATAAGGAGAGTAATTAAATCTAGTAAATCTTGAATTTCTTTTTCAGTCAGTGGAATACTGAACACATTACAAACAGCGTGAAGCGGTGACCTTTTTTTATCATCAACCAAAGTTAGGTCAGCATTATGTGACAGTAAAAGTTTGGTGATATCTATGTGTCTAAACTTACAAGCCAAATATAACGGAGATTGTCCTTTGTTATCACACATATTAACATCAGCGTTTCGATCAATAAGCATTTTTACCAGACTCATATGACCACCTTTAGTTGCAACATGAAGTGGTGTCTGTTGGCAATTATTTCTTATGTTCAGGTTTACCACTTGTGGGACAAGTATTTTAAAAACACGCTCAAACCCATCTGGTGTGTACAAAGTGCACCCTTGCAAATCGGAAAAGCTACCGGCAAATGAATTAGATGGAAACTTAACGTGCCCTAAACGTCTTTTTTGTTGCACTCGACCTCTGTTTTTACACGTTACATGAAGTGGAGAGTTCCCATCTTTGTCGCATACTGAAACATTTGCATTTTTTTCAAGCAAAACATCTAATATATCATCATTTCCTCCACCACATGCCTTAAATACAGTTGACTGGCCTTTGTTGTCACATAGTGAAATATCTGCACCTTTTTTTAGAAGCATCGCTACAATGTCGACAGGACCATATTCACAAGCCAAATGTAAAGGTGTTTCTCCATGTTTATTACGCTTATATATATCTGCGTGCTTATCAAACAGTAACTCTATTATAGATTTATGTCCATCAGTATCTCTCTGCAGAAAATACGGAATATCATTGCCTGATTCCTCATCCTTCCTCCTACTTCCATAACCCTTGCATACTGAATGAAGGACCGTCTTCCCATCGTTATCTAACTGTGATATATCAGTAATGCTAACGAGTAACAGTTTTACCACATCTGTGTGTTCTCGTTGACATGCAAGATCCAGTGGGGAATTTCCTTCATTGTCGCACACTGCTATATCTGCTTTTCTTTCTAGAAGCATTTCTACAACATCGCAATCACCGCTTTCGCATGCAATATGTAAAGCCGTTTGTCCTTTATAGTTACGTAATGAAACATCAGCCTGATGTTCTAACAACAACTGCACGATAGATCGATGAATATCGTAAGACCTGTATTGGATATGTATTGGAAAAGGTGAACCAAATTTTGAAAAATCAACTTCAAAAGATTTTCCATTTTTGTCAAGAAGTGAAATCGTGGTATTCTTCCCTCGCAGGAAAAATATATCTTTCCATTTGCATGCAATGTGTAACGACGTAAAACTTTTGTCAGTATGGTGGTTTACATCCGCGCCTCGTTTCAGCAATAGCTTAACTATATCAACAGAATCACCGACAGAGGCAAAAGATAGTGGTGTAAATCCGTTATTGCAAGTCAAAGATAATTCCAATTTCTGATCCAGAAGGAGGTTTATCACAGATAAATGATCATCTTTTGGAAAAATGTTGTAACAAGCGGCATGAAGAAGTGACCAACCCCTTTTGTCAGTATCAAATAAGTTGACATTTTGCTGAATTAAGAATTCTACTATGTCGAGGCTTCCACCCTGACAAGCTGCGTACATTGGGGAATATCCATTGATGTCACAAAAAGCAACATCTGTCCCATTTTCTATTAAAATCTTCACTATATCGATATAACCTTGGTGTGAAGCTACGCATACCGAAGTCCATTTATCAAAATGCGATATATCAATATCACTGTTTAATATAAGTTTAACTACATTTAAATGTCCATTTCCAGAAGCTATATATAATGGTGACATTTTATTCTCGTATAAAGAAATAGCGGTTTTGTTCTTAAGTAAAATATTTACTATTGTATCATGCCCCTTCTCACATGCCACCTCTAACGATGACGGAGTTATGTTTGCATTATTAGCTAGCAATATTTCAACAATGTCTGGATATCCTCCTATGCATGCTATTGTCAGAGGCGGATAATGGTCAGAAAAAGTGTCACATTCATTGACATCTGCACCTTGTTGTAAAAGCAATTCAACTATGTCTAAATGCCCTCCTTCACAAGCATTTGTCAACGGCGTTCCGTCAAACAAAGACATTTGGCATACGTCAACTTCACTGTCGATCAGTAATTTCACAATGTCTGTATATCCGTTTTTACAAGCGACTGTTAATGGACAATACATATTTAAACTATCCGTCGACACATCACAATGGTGATTCAATAACAGTTTAACCACATTTGTGAACCCTCGTTCACTAGCAGTGTACAATGGTGACCTTCCGTCACTATCAAACACATTTACTTCACATCCTAATTTGATTAGAAATTCTATGATATCTTCATAGCCTTCCGAAATGGCTTCTATCAAAACAGAAGATATATGTTCTTCAATTTCATCACCGAACGAACTCAAATCATCATTATAATCAATTTTCATAATTATGCCACTTTCATCGAGTTGGTTGAATATAGACTTAGAAACCTCGATATCTTTCTCGAAGAACTGAACAAGTTTGATTCTGAATAACTCAAAAACTAATTGTTTATTATGCAGTGTGCTGTATATATTTCTACTGCTTAAATCAATGGTCAGTCTTTTAAAATAGTATTCCTCTATGTCTTCGGAAATGATAATCACGCTCTCATTGTTTGTAGTCCCTAAAGATTCAAATACATACCTATCACCTATAAATGACTCACTTGCAAATTTGATTAAGCATTCCTTAAAGTGTTGCCCAAAAACAACGGCTGCAATGTCATAAATTTTGTCATGAACAAACAAATAATTCGTGCCAGTTTTTCTGAGATATGTCCCTGTCAAACTAAAAAAAGCATCAGTTAAAGAGAGTCTAAATATCTCTACGTCTAAGCTGATACCAAATTGTCGACCTATTTCTATTAATTTATTTTGAATGTCATTTGGGACCAATTCAAACTTCAGCCATTGTTCATCAAACCCCTCTTCAAATAATATACATAACACAAGAGCGCAATGTTTGAACTTGTTTTCAGTTTGACGGATTTCTTCTATATCAGCCCTTATTGTAGCGATGGGTGTTAAAAAAAGATTTCTTAATTCTTCTGACGATCTATTTGTTGAAAGTCTACAAAGCAGAGGAAAAAAATTAAACTCATTCAGAATGTCATTGACTTTGTTAATCCTATCGTTGGGAAGGTACTTATTTATCATCAACAGTCTCTCTTCAGGGAGGAGACATAGAGATTCAGCCAATATATTACATTCATGCCTAGTAAAACAAAGCAGTCGTTGGAACCATCTGTCTTTAAACACCTGTAGTCTACACGAAATTAATAGTTTGGCAATTTTGGTTTTCTCTGTCCATGTCGCATTCCGTGATTCGATAACATTTTCTTGGAATATTTCTTCAACCTTGCTTGCCAAATCCTTCCACGTTTGTACAATTTGGAGATTCACATTCTCTTTTCCGCAGATATCATCGATGACAAAAACTTGATTTCGTTTTTCATTACGATAATTTATGATATCAGCAGGTGCCGTTACAAAAGATGAGGGAACAATTTCATAATCATCTGTACTATGTAAATGTAAAGCAACATGATGAATTAGAAAAGATTTACCAGATCCGGAACTTCCTGTTACAACAGCAATGTTGGATGAAAAGATTTTGGAAATCACATGTTTTGTTGCCCTTGTAATAAAAAACGTTTTATCATCTGATTGCCATTGCTTAATAGTCTCTTCATGTTGATCTAAAAGAAAATAAAGTTTTATCTATCAAAAATTAGCCAATTGTTCAAACAAATATAGTATGATTTCTGAAATAATCTAAATCAGGTACATCAAAAGTTTGGAAAGTCATAAATATAAAGCGTTTTAAAACATATCAACCTATATAGAACTATCTACTGGGCGAATGATACCGAAAGGACCGCATAGTCCTTCAGAAAACGGTACAACCCTATTGATGTAAAAACATTTGATACATGTATGAATTCCGAATGCATGTGCACAGCACGTCTCGCACAGCACGTCAGTCTAAACAACCTTCAATAGCTTCACTCGTGACCAAATATTAAAACAAAACCACACACAAATTAAGCATTTAAGAGTATGAAAACCAAAAGAAACAGTCAAAACCACCAATTAGAACATTATACGATGATGGAGTTTTAACCTAAATTTTATTACAATTGCATAATTTTATGAACCCCATATCCTTTCTTTTATATTATATTAACGTGCTGTGTGGAGGCAGTAGAAAATTTCCCCGTGCTTGAGGTGTATGCTCTTATGTTGTTTTTTATTAAAGTTATGACGTATTTATTCTTGAGATAACCTGCAGGAAGGTGAGAGTTTTTGCTATTATGGATGTTGAAGGCCTCACTGTGACTTTGAGATGAAGAAAAGAGAGAAACGATACCGAAATGGATGTCTGTGCAAATGCGAAAGGCTTAAAAAAGTTAACGATTTTGGATTCAGTAGTATATTTATTTTAATATTGATTTCGGTTAAATTGATTTTTTCTACTGTAAACGAGTACTTCGTCCTCATATTTATGTCATGGAGTCATTTTAGACCTCATTTTATATTTTTATGAAAATTTAGTTTTCAGCAAAAAGGAATAAGTTTAAGATATTTTATTTATTTAAAGTCCATTTCGAAACTGCAGTATTGATTAAAAGTATTTTTGTTTTATATTCGTTCATTATTGTTGAAGGAAATCATTTTTATATTCTCGATATATTTAAGATAAAAAGTTCAAATTTGACAGATATTTACTTTGGCATTTGTCACTTCAGATTTTCTCTTTGTTAGGCATTATTTTTATCAATTTAAGATGTTTAGCGACAAGCTAAGTGGACACAATTAGACATGTCTTTTTACTAAGTCTATTGTCCTTTAAACACAATCAAGTTGTTGTGTAAACAACATATGTCTAGGTAACCTGGTCAATTAGGGTTCTTTGTCCTGTCCAGCAAAGATCTTTCCACGCCCCTTTTTACCCCAAATTATCAGGGTAACTAAGTGGCTCGGGTGTTTAACGAATCTGATTGGTCAAACCTGAAACAGTAACGCAAAATCGAACAAGTGAATTTCGGTCTCAAAAGTGGCACTTTCTCATGCGCTTTTGAAGATACAAGTTCTAAAACCTATATCACTGTGTTTGTTATAACTGTTTTCAGGTGAGTCAAGTATTTTAATTATTCAAAGTTAATATGTTTCTTTCATTATTTTATTCAATTGAATCATGAAACTTCGTAAAGTTTCGTTTCCATTTCATTTAGTAAAGTTGAAGTTAAATATCTATGAGTTCTGCAAGTAAAGAAGTTTAGATCAAATTGTTGTTTCTCGATCAGTGTAAATAGATGTATATATGTTCAAAAAAAGGTTGGTTTATTCTTCACAAACTTTCTGTACTCAAGGGTATTTTTAAACTCATTATAGAATTTAGTTTTACGCTCGCATGCTGGAAATGATAATTTTAACTTATCGCTTGTTCATACTTAATAAGAATTAAGGTCAGTTCTGCAAGGGTAAGATGTCAATTATTTTAATAAACGCTTTATGCGTAATTTCCACATGTGTAGGCTAATTTAATAAGAAATTATTTATCGTAAACTATTCTTGTTGTTTAGCCCTATATTATTACGAGTCATGAATTTTTGATACAAAGCAAGCATATATATTTTAAAAGCTAGTTTCCCCATTTCATATTATATTGTTTAATATTTATATTATTTGAATATTCACGATTAGTTTCGTAATGCTAAGTTTGTCTCGATTTCGAATATTTCTCAACCAATGCTCATCGTCGGAATTGATTATTTTTGGGTTAATAGGTTTTTATATAGTTTAAGTTTTTACTAGCGCAATATATGCTCTACCATGATTATAATTCGAAAGATAAAAGAATTCAACATGTTTATTCATGTCCATTGTGAAGATATTATGCATTCAATACTTTATGCTGTTCAGCACATGCTTTATGCTCCGTTAGGTTCAAATATTAGGTCTTGCATTATGCTCATACATTTAAGATTTAGTCCGCATCTTGCTCATATATTTGAATGCTAAATAAGCTTTTATTTATAAGAAATATTATAAGCATCCGTGTTCGTCAGTTAAAATGCATATGCTCATGCATTAACGTAAAGTTTGTATACCAAAGATATTAATTGATCAATTATATTGTAAAATTGTATGAATTAGATGTTTCTATTATTTGCATTATATACTATTATATTGTTATTAATTATACACTTTCTCATGCGCTTTTGAAGATACAAGTTCTAAAACCTACTTCACTGTGTTTGTTATAACTGTTTTCAGGCCCTTACTCATCACCCTAAGTCCGTAAGGTGTGCTGTTGGTTAAGTCCAACCATAACAGTCAAACAACAGACCATACAACCCAGAAACCAAATTCTGATAACTGGCGGAGACCCTAAAGATCAACAATACGGTACCTCATTGATATATGTATTGGTTGAGATCGCAGATAGTAATAGGAAGAGACATGCCAGCCCCAGGAAATGCCGCAGGTCAGCAGGAGGCCGAAATTATCCAAGCACCGGTCAACGTTCCAGCAGATATTGCAGCACCACTCAATGTTCCAGTCGTTGCAGCCCCTCAAGGACCCCCACCGGGTTTCCCTGCTCAGAGATACAACGTGAACATAGAATTGTTCACTGGAAAAGGTAATGTTACCGCACTAGAATGGTGGACAATGTTTGTAACATTTGTCACACTTCAGAGGATGCCAGAAGCAGATGCGCTTCTGGTTTTCCCTTTCCACTTAGCAGGAGTAGCTAAAGCATGGTTTAATACCTTAGACACACACACAAAAACCACCTTAAATAATTAAAAGTTAGCTTTTTTACAACGTTTTAAGCCTACACTAAATGCAGGAGTTAAGATAACTGAATTAAGACAAAATGCATATGAAACTGTCGATGAATATATCGACAGGGCTTTAAGTTTAAATGCAAATAACTGTGTGTCTGAGGAATTTCTAATTTCAGTGACCGAGAAGGGTTTCAAGAAAAGTATGTGTCATATCATACTCCCCAATCGGTCAAAGACCATGCAAGCCCTCAGAGAAATTGCCACCATTGCAGAAATGACTGTTGCTGTGTCAGGTCAGCCACAGATGGAGGACATTACATCCACCATCAACCACGCTGTATGTTCTGCAGTCAAGTCGGTCGAAGCCAATATGCTGGATAGCCTCATGACAAGGATGGACACAACATTATCCGCCATGAACCGACCAGACCGCAGACCAGATCACAGACCAGAACAGCACAGAGTCAAATTCAACAATGAGCAAAACCACAATTTCAACAGTACAAATTCAAAGAACTGTGGGTACTGTGGGGGCAATTTTGGGCTTGGTCAGCAAGTTTCGGTATACACTCTTATGATGGTCATTTTTTGTGGTGTATCAGTTGGTGCCATGACAACCAAAGAAACAGACATAATACAAAGAATTAATTATGGTGTGATTTTTAAAGAAGAAGCCAAAATGTATTTAGCTAAGGAGTCATGGTTACACACATTCAAGGTGTCATTACCTGAACATTTCAGTTTACCAAACATTAGTTTTTGTAGTGAAAACTCTACCCAATGTAATTATTTCAATTCTATTATCAGTTTTGTTCACCATTTACAGGACACTACAAAAATTCATTTAATAGAGTCAATTAGGAATATTAAAACATTAATTCCCCAAAATGATATATTATTAAAAAAGCGCAATGCACGCTCATTTTTACCATTTATAGGCTCATTAGCTAAAGGTTTATTTGGTACTGCAACCATGGGAGATGTAAATTTACTGGCTAGCCATATAAATGAAATAAATAAAAGAACAAGATTAATGGCTAGGGCTTTAGAGCAACATGGAGACCACTTGTCTTCATTTATGTCACTGGTTGACAAAAGAACAACCAATCTGATAGATGGAATTCAAAAAAACTCAGTAGAAATTCTTGCCATTGCAAACAAATTTCAGATGTCATTAAAGAACACCCAAAGTTTTTTCCTTAACACGACCACATTACTAACAGAGCTCACTAACACAGGCAACATGCTCAGAAGCAAAGTGGACCAGTTTCAGGCAGCAGTCCAAAGTTTGGTCGAAGGGCGGATCTCACCATTCTTATTGCCAAAACATACTTTAACACAAGCTCTGCACAAAATCCAAACTATCTTAACAAATTCATACTCTGGATTCTACTTAACACAACCTCACCCATCCTATTACTATACTAATTCAAATTTCATGTTTATGCGTAACCACTCTAAACTTTTCATTACCCTTCGTTTTCCTATATCTTCACTCACTCACCCTCTTCGTCTTTACAAGATATTGTCACTTCCTGTTCCTGTAAATAATTCTCTCAAGCATGCAACTAAGTTACTAGATCTACCTGATTTCTTTGCTATAACCCACCAGCATGACTATTATTTACATATCTCAGCTAACGAACTAAGTAACTGCAAGCATGAATCAATAATCACGTGCAATTTTAACAAGGCACTCATACCAACGCATGTTCCACAATGCACTATTGGATTGTTCAATAACGACATCAACCAGGTTTCACAATTCTGTGATTTCCGTTTTTTGAAAAACCATTTGACCCATGATATCATTGAATTGACTTCCACGTCAGTATTGGTGTATCAAAGTGATTCACTTGCACTTAATTGCCCAATTAAACAAACCACTTTATCTGGTTGCAAGT